CTCCAGCATTTAAAAAAAGAAAAACAACACGGACATGCTGATTACAGTGCGGTGCGAAAGTGAAAGTAAAACATGGTGCTGAGCACCCGTTCAGAAAAGAAACTTCTCCCCTCATATTCCGACACAGAGGGTAGAAACAGCTAAATTAGACAGTTAAAACACATTTACAGATCATAACTCGCCCTTGTTGTTGTAACATTCATCCTGTGTTGTCCGCAAGCACTTTCCGCCCTGTTGTGGGTCCATTTCCTTGAAAAATAAAACTTAACCAGGCACTTTGAAGAAGCTCTGACGCTGGTAGTCTATGTAGATAATAATGTGGGTTTACACATCCCAGAACCGAACATTTTGACTTCTGAACTTGCACATTCGGCATGACGCTGTGAACTACAAAATCACACTGCGAGGAAAAAAATGGCGGACTATGAAATCCAGTTGGCCAGAAATACATTACCATAAATGGTAGTTCTGAAGAAAAAAGTGTGACAAAATAAACAATGAAACGAAATAAGCAACAGCAGATTTTGAACAAAATGAAAAATTTGACCCATAAAAAATTTAAAATATCTTTGCATAAATTAAAGTTTTCTACACTCCTAGACACTATAATTGCACAAAAAATTTATAAATGCAAAAAAGGTGCATTTAGCATGATATGTCTCCTTTAAGTCAAATAATGTCAACTGTCAATCAGATGCTTCTAAAGGCATGACATCATCATCTGGACTGAAGCCGGATTAATCAAAGTGTATGTAAACTCTGGATTTTAAATAAAAGGAACAAAAGATTCTCTCACTGAGTCATTTAGTAATAAAAACTCCAGAAAACCAGTAACGGAGGATGACCAGGTGAGCTGCTTACCTGTCCTCCTCCGTTCACCTTGTTGGTTAGTTTGACTTTATTGAAGCTCACGGGGGCTTTCATCCAGTGGGCCCCAAAGTTCGGAGAGTCAGGGTGGATGTAGATCCCGCCATGGCCCCGCCCCTCACCACGGCCCTCCGCCCGGCCGGCCGCCACCCACTCCCCGTTCACAAACTTCCAGCGGCAGCTGTCGGCTGGAACGAAGTCCAGCAGGAAGGAGTACATGGAGCTGGGATCCAGACCGGAGACGCTCACCTTCAGGACCGGGAACATCCGGCTGTAAACAGACACCAGTTTTAAAGGTTTGAACTGAACTGGATCAGGTTTGAACTGAACTGGATCAGGTTTAAACTGAACTGGATCAGGTTTAAACAGAACTGGATCAGGTTTAAACAGAACTGGATCAACAATGATTTCAGTTTGTGTAGGGCTATTTCCATCACTGAGTGCAAAAAGTTTCATCCTTCTGCAGCTCAATGAAAAATGAAAGCCCTCAGCTCTCCAGCGGTGAGAGCTGCTGAAGTGGCATCCTGCAGGTGTAAATGGAGTGTTTGCCCACCGCAGGGCGCGACCGGTCAACACGCCTCGGCTCGGCATGAAAAAACAACAACTAACAGACTGAATAAATCACAGCGAGGTGATGGAAGCCGCTGCTATCGACACTAATGAATAACCCCAGTTAACAGAACAACTGATCCAGAGTCAGCTTCAAACAGACACCCTGGTTCTGGTTTCATCTGCAGCCCATGTTCAGATGATGGCGAACTTGAAACTACAGTCTGTGTTTGTTAAGCACGCTAAGATCTGCGGACATGTCAGCTGGTTGTTCGGTTTATCAAGTTTTTATCTTTCAGAACAAAATCACCAGCTCTCATGGTGCGTTCCATTTGTACTTGAACAAAATCAGTTTCACCAAGTTAAACTAACTAAATCTAACTGAAACTGTGGGGCTAACAAAAGCTAACTAAAAAACATTTGGCTAACTGGAGCTAACTGAGGATACTGGTGGCGCAAACTAAAACTAAGAATATCTTCAACTAACTGAGGCTGACAGAGTCTAACTAGTTAACTGGGAGTACAGTGGCTAACTGATGCAGTCTAAAACTGATCCATGCTGATGGAGGCTGTGTCCGTTCTCAGGGGTTAAATCCTTCAAAGGCCGCATTTGAAGGCTGATTACGTCACAGCAATGCAGTGAAGGCTGGCCCACAAACGCAACCTCCTTTTTCCCCGATTTGATGGTCTGATGGATCCTTCGCAGCCCACTGACAGGGAAATTTTTTTGCTTTTAATGGCGGACAAAGTGAGAGACAAGAGTACAGCTTTAACTAAAACCCTTGTCAGAGACCCCATGACCCTGAAAGGAAGAATCGGGTTAAGATGGATGGATCTTGTCAGAAACCATCGTAAACAAGCTGGTATGGCAAGACTCTTWGTTCTTCATGTGTTGCCTCTTAGTTAATTTTGTTCATTCATAATAATAATATTAACATGAATATTTTCCTAATTTCAATCTATTTTTATCTTAATTGCTTCTGTTTAGCACCATTATGATTGTTAGGTGACCAGACTCACTCCTGGATAAGGGCAGGAATAAAGCTGAACACTAGACCGTCCAAATTCACACGTTCCTCCCGGTCGACAAGGGATCCAGCCCACCTGGTCCAGGTAGTTTGGGTCATTCAAAGGACGCAGTCCCTGAATTTGGAAAGAGCCAGTGTCTAACTAAAGCTAACTGGCTAACTGTAACCAAGTGAACCCAACTAAGTCCAACTGAAAATGTGTGGGGTCAATAAAAGCGGACCAGAAATCCTTGTGCTAACTGAGGCTAACTAACTGAAGTCAGCTGAGGCTAATCAAGTACCAAATGTTTTGTTGATGAAATCTTTTATTGCCTCTGTGTTACTTAGGTTTTTTTGTTCGTAGGTAACATTTTAAAGTTATCTCAGGTCGTGGATGATTTTTCAGGTGACACTGATCACTTAAAAAGCAACTTTAAGCATTTAACCATCACCAGAAACTTCAAAGTCTTTTCTTTTTCCACCAAGCATCATTAGCACCTGGTCATTACTGTACATTAAGAACATCTGAATGTCAGTAAAAACACCTTTAAACAGGGACAAAACATCTACAACAACAAGGTGTTAATGTAAGTCATCCTCTTACTCTAATAAATACCTCTTTAGCCTTAGCGGAGACATAAAAGTTCCTTTAAAAGATCTTCTGGACTTATGTACTCTCTGTAATGCTACTGACCAACAATTAAAACCTACAGAACCTCTGTCTCTTCTGTATAGAGGTTATTGTTTGCTCCTTTTCACTTTAATCCAGGGAATAAGATTATGGAACAGCATGGATGATGAGGTTAAAAATGCCAGATCCTTGTATATATTGAAGAGATTGATAAAAACGAGTATTCTGAAGATAAATGGAGAATTATTAGTGAATTCATGATAATTGTTGTTTGAGTTGGTGTATTAAATGTTGTTTTTAGTTCATTTTTAAATGTTTTAAGTTGTTTTAATTTTTGCTGTATTTTACTTTTCTTTTGAACATATTTTGGGTACAAAAAAGGGGCAGATATAAGATTTATTCTTCTTCTGCATCCTTTCATTTTATTTGATTTTATTTTGATTGCATGTTTTTTGAACTTTGTTAATTTGTGTTACAAATGAAATGAATAAGGAACTACTATTACTACTAAAAGCTTCCTCCTCCATGACGGCTCCTGGTGTTTGTTCTACTCAGCCATGGAACATTATTTGAGGATAATCACCTCATCTTTCGACCAGTCTGACCATCTGACCATTTTTTTAATCTTGTTTCATTTTTATAGCCTTGTACAGTAATTTTATTTTATTTTTAATTATCATTATTAATATTATATTTTTAACTCTATTATTATTGCTACTGAAGGACATTTTGTAACTGATTGAATGTTAGATGCAGTATTGTATTTTACACTTTCTGATCATTGCAGCTTGGTGTTTTATCATGTGTTCTTTCTTTAGCCTAAACAAAATGAGTTATGTTCTGACATCTGACGTAAAAGGTAACACCTCCAGAGGTGTAACCAGGAAGAAATGTACATTATAAGCTCTATTCATTATTTTAGTAAAAATAAGTTGTCAGTGTTTTGCAGAGTGTCTGCTCMGAGCAGAGMTCTTGTCTGTTTGTTTTGATTCTTGAGGCCTGAGTGCTGTACTGTGAACCTGATTGGAGTCAGAAGATTGAAAATAAAGTTTTAAGAAGAAATCCAGCAGATTCCTGTTTATTCGGACATACCATTTTGAACAACACATGTTTTTCCTACACTACTGTTGATGTCACAAAGCAATATACTGCTGTGGACTGATGTACCTGCTGCTGCTGTTACACTTGAATTTCCCCTCTGTGAAACAATAAAGGCGTTTCTATTCTGTTCTGTTCTATCTTAAAATAAAACCAACAATCAATTAAACAATTAAACCATGTTGTTTCTAAAGTCTGAAACTGAAAACTTCCATAGACTTTCTTCAACTCATCGCAGAGGATTGAGCTAGCCTGGGCCTTGTCTTCCTAGGCAGTTCTGCTCAATTCTAGTTTCCCTTCACTGCTCCTTGTACAAAACAAAGCTAAGGACAAGGGTCTGGTTTTAACCAGGTTAGGGTTGAGCGTGCATTATGTTGGTTTAGTTTTTAAACTTTGAATGAATTAAAGTGGTCAAAGTTTAGGTGGTGAAAACAACCTAAATATTGTCTGTACAGGAGGTCCAGAAGGTTTTCTGTTAGCGTTGATGTAATCATCAGTTTGCAGAAAATAAATTATGCCTTGATTCGTCTAAAATTGATGCTGGAGAAAAGAAAAACATTTGAATTTTCAGCTCAGCTTTGTTATCTAAGTTTTTTTAGGTTAAGACCAGCTCTGTGGATCACTTGAACTTTTTAAGAAAGGTTCTAGAACCTGGGACCTAATGGTCGACAGGTTCCTTTAGAGTCCTACCGTCCGTTCTTGGTGACGATCATCTCATTGGTGATGTGTTGGAACTTCCTCCACAGGTCGGCGTCCTCCAGTGCCACTTTCAGCTCCCGCTCCGTGGGGTCGCCCTTCTCGCGGCCAGCCTGCAGCTCGCTCTCCACGGCGCTCAGCAGCCGCGACACGGAGAGCTCTGAGGACCCGAGGCTGCAGACCATCCCACCAGGACCGTGGTCGGCTGAGGCCGCGGGACCAGACTCCCCGTCTTCCTGTAGGCCCTCCACCTTCATCTGGAGACTCAAAGACAGAAACGGGTCCTGGTGAGTCTGAATCAGTAGAAGATAATGTTTTTCTTTTTTGTACCTTAAATCTAAAAACTTTTCTGTTTGTTGACAACATAAACAGGACATTAAAGTAGAGGAGTTCTGATGGGTTTGGGTGGTAGACTTAATTTTGAAACAACTTTGAATTCACTGATCCTTTTTAATAAAGTAAAATCTAATTAGGCTGAACTTTATAATTAAAATCTAATTAAACTCTTTCCCTTTAAATTCTGCTTGTGTTTGTCTGGTAATGTCCTSTTTGTACATGTTGACATTTCGTCTTTTTATGTGTAATTTATGTCTTTATATTGGTTTTTTGTCCTTTTCTTGAACCTACTCAAGTTCAGCTCTTTTTATTTTTTGTGAATTCCATCAAAATATTTAGTGTTAAAACCTAAATTATTCTAATTATTGTTCAATTTTCTTTGTTTTTTTAGCTACTCTCATCTTTTACTCTGCTCCTTTCAGCTTTTAAAGTCTTTTTTTCTTCTAATTTCATCTTCTAAATGTTGTTTCTCTTCCAATTCTTTTTTTCTCTGGTTGTTTGAGACGAAAGTGGAGAACTAATGAAACCTGATGGAATCAGAATAATTGCAGGTCTGAATATAAAAGCCATTTTTGCTGAGAAGGAAACAAAATGCTTTGTCAAGGACCTCTTAAAGACGGAGTCCACTCTACTTCAGATTACTGCTGTTAGAACCAGACCCACAGAACTGATCCAGGCCCCAGAAGGTCCGCTGCAGGTTTTAGTAATGACTCAAAGTTTCTCTCCTGCTGAGTAAAAACCTGCTGCTCTTCTTTCTGACAGGATCCTGTTGGTCTCAGACRGGACTTTAGGTCTCGTTGTCCTCTTTTCATCAGGTCCAGGACAGAAACCCAAAACTCCCTCTCGTCAGAGACACTCTCCAGATCCTGCTGGAAGACCCCAAGGTGTTCCCAGACCAGAGAGGATTTAATCCCTCCTGAGAATTCTGGGGTCTCGTCCAGAGGGAGTCATCCTGATCAGAACCTCCTCCTCTGACAGCTTTGGGTCCAGAGGAGCAGCAGATGTACTCCGCTGAGCCCGGCCACCCTATGAAGGATGCTTGGATCCAGGATCTGGTTCTTTGGGTCCTGATCATCAGAAGAGTCTGTTCCAACTATCGAGGATGGACGTTCTCAGCCTCCACAGGAAGGTTTAGTCCAGGGTTTAGGAAAGGAGTCGCTGACCGACTGTTGGACAGTTTTAAGGGTATCTGGTCCCAGTAGAACCAAACCAGAGCTTGTTCTCCATTCTGGTTAGACTCCTCTGGTGCCGTCCCTGATCTGTGATCCTGTCTGTGGCCTTCAGAGGTCGGGGTCTGGTTTGGGAACCTCAGGGATTCGTCTCTGATTTATGTGGACGTTTTGGTTCTGTTAAGTCTTCAGGTCAAGACCTTCAGTGTGACCTGAGGTGGGTCACAGCTAGGACGAGAGTCAGATCCTTTCAGTCCGAGGTCAGGGTTCTGAACCAGGAACGGGTCCTCTGGGTCTGGGTGAGTCTCATTGATCCACCATTTATGTTAGAGTCAAGAGATAAAAAAAAACAGAATTTAATTGTAATAAACTTTTATTTTATTTTATTTTTTATTAGAAACTTTGGTTAAAACAATTT